TTTAAACCTGACTAACCTTTAATTTTATATTTTGAGCAGACAGGTGTAGTCTTGCTCTAAGTCTAACAATACCAGAAACTGATCAACTAGTGTTTTACTATTTTTAATCATCACTCTGAAAGATTGTCTTCGCTGTTGCTCATGAAGTTTTGCACTAACTTCTGGACTTGCCATATTTTCTACCTAAACTGTATTTTGTAGTAATTTTCTAAACAACTAAAAATTGTAACTTCAAATTTGCAGTCAATTCTAACTTTAGCAAGAGGACTGACATTGCTAAAACGTCGCAAACCGCAAATATAAAACACATACATTGCGCGTCGAGGAGGAGATGTTGCTTTGTAGAGAATAAACAAGACTGCATTTAGAGCGTTAAAATTTAAGTGCTACATTTGATTTCTAACGTAGGAGTGTAGTTTGATCCGTGCAGTGTCAGGCAAGATGCTAAAGGCTGTAAAATGCCCATCCGTAACACCACTTTCATCCGCACAATCACTTTTATCGGTTGTTAAGTTACTAGAGAGACCCTATTTTTGCAACTTTCACCTGAGCTTTAATCATCTCTTCCGCCAGACGTTGAGCTTTCCTCAGCAAATGTCTCCACAGCTGTAAGATGGTGCAGATTTTCAGAAAAGAATTTACTTTTCATGTTTGTTTTTCCTTATTTCTTGCCATGATAGTATGTGGTATGAGTCAACTGCAAGTATAAAAGGTCACTGACGTTTTCCTTTGGTAAACAGAGGAGAGCATTAACTTCAACGTCTTAGGGGGTAAAAGGCACCTTTGGAAAATTGAGAATAACATTGCTGCTTACCGAAAATACAAGCAGGTGATTATGCTCCTGCCAATGACAGGCATAAATTTTGCGTTTTAGTTCTCATTCCGTTTTATATCTATTGCCAAAGTCTCCCAGCTTTGCTCATTAGTCAAAACTTTTTTTAAAAATCATCTATGCTAGTCAAAACAGAGGCTATGCGTAGCCTTGATTTCCAGCACTAATACATTTGTCCACAGTAAAGTCACGTAATCCTAAGTCAAAAAGTGAGACCGATATATCAATTAGCTGCTGCCTTGTTTCAACCTTAGGTGCTTTTGTGCAGCAGCAGTTAGTGGTATCACGTACACTTTGATTAACATGTTGAACAGCAGTAGAGTCACGTGACTTGAATCAATGTATGGGTCAAGTCACGCAGATATACATTAATCCGCAGTAGTGTAACGAGACTCTGGCTAAGCATTGGACCAATGCACCGAGCCGAAGCGGTGACACGTGGACTCATGTCATGAGATTCGGCGAATATTTGCATTCCCAGCATTCATATGCGACACAAGGGCACTAACACAACCGACATAACCACCCTGATGGTGAGTCGGTTGACCTGTGGTAGACACTGAAATATGAACGGCCCGGTATTCATCGACTTACACATCATCG